CTTAATTTTTGTATAATTCGTCACTCACCTTCAAAAGGGAATACTGAGCAATTAACCCGAAGGGTCCAGTAAGATACTCGTCCCAAACAATGGCCTTAAATAAAACATAAATTGTGAAAACCCATGAATTAGAGGATGATGAAGCTATTAACGTTACATGTCGACTGACAGCATCACTGAACAATATTTGCAGTAATAATAAATCGCATAAAGTGCAGTTCACATTCGGAGCAAATCCGGAGTAATAGAAGGACAGACTAATCTGCATTAGTTGGTATTAAATCAAAAGAGCTTTACCTTGCTTCCCGAACACTTATCTAAAAACTCGCGCAGGTCTTTTCGCGCAGCCTCTCTCAAAATATTTAGGTTTACTCTGCCGCAAAACAAATGCGACGCCATATTTGTTGAACCACAATCATATGACTTTCAGGACGTCACGTGATCCGTCTTTCAAAATAAAAACCAGCAGATGTACATTTTACCACAGTGTTTATAATTTAATACATTTTAATTTAATGTCATTTCAATATTTTTGAAATATTTCTATGCTATTATTATTATATCATTAGCTAATGTTGGATTAATCACGACTTTTACATTAGCGTTATCAGTGTTTGTTGCCAAGTCCACATATTTTCGACATATTTTCGTTGCTTGACATTCCAGAATCAGAATCAGAATGAGCGACAAGACAGGACGCAGATAATAAAAAAAAAATATATATATATATACAAAAATAGACAATGTACAAAATAGCAAAAACACAATATATAATATAGACAATTATGTAATGTGTTTTTATATGTATATCTCTGAAAGGAACCGAGTGTCTTCAAAAAGTTTCGATTGCATTTCAACTTTATCTGAAAAAGGAGCATTTGCTGCTTTGTTTACAGCCGTTACCAGGGAACCCGCTATATTTGTTCCAAAAGCCTTCCTACTGGCAGAGAACCAAATTGGATTTTCAATAAGCCTGTCTGCTGCTTTCTTTTTGTTTTTGTGAAAACTTGAATCTCTGCTGTAATTAAATCATGTTTTTTTTTACAGTCATTTTAGTTGAATGTTACCATAGACATTGCCCTACCCTGCTCATATAGTATTATTTTTTATTTTTAAATTAATTTTTCAGGTCTTAAAAAAAAAAAGGTCTTAAAAAGTCTTACATTTGATTTTAAAAATCCTGCAGACATTGCACAGCTGCCAGTATCTGGAATGATTTTGATCAGCATTTTCATAACAGAGGGCTCTCTCAATGTGTTATATTTTACAGTTTGTCAATTGACATAGGCTAATTGTTACAATATAATTACAATATAATTGTTAATTGTTTGTTAATTGATTTTGTACGCTTTGCATACACATGTGTGCACCCCTCAAAAGCCTGAAACCACAGAGAAAAACATTGAATATAGACTACAGTATGTAGAATGTGTAACGTAGACGCGTGACGGTGAGCTGGTTTTATGAATCTGGATCCTCTCAAATATCTGGCAACATCTGTGCTGAAGTCCGAGCTCATCGACACAGTCCCGGAGCTGAAGGCAAGTGAGATCAGAAAATGCTGCGCGCTGTTTTCTCCCGAACTTTCCCACAAGTTTTCCGGATCTCGGCATGTCAGCACTCAACGATTCCCGCCTCGAATGTTCATCCAGACGTTCACTTCAACAAGGTAACTGAAAGGCCAAATGCTGGGACTTGAATTCAGTTTTATTCAAACATGTAGTAAGTGACATGTGCATGTATGTTTTTCATATTATAGAGTGGGGGTTCAATCTTCAACTGGCTGGCAGCTGCCACCAACCACTGGCAGGTCACGTGACCTGTCAGTGGCGGCTCCTGCCAGCCAGTTGAAGATTGAACCCCTACTGGAATGTTTGTACATGTTGTTAAAGATATTGAATCTCAGGAACACATCGCCACAGTTTTGAGGGTGTTCAGCTCCAAGTTGTTAAGACTGCACCAGACAGCCAGCTCTTTTACCTCCTGTCTGTAAGCAGACTCGTCAATGTCCTGAATGAGGCCGATAAGTGTGGTGTCGTCTGCAAACTTCAGGAGCTTGACAGAGGGGTCTTTAGAGGTGCAGTCATTGGTGTAGAGAGAAGAGCAGTGGGGAGAGGACACATCCCTGGGGGACGCCAGTGCTGATCGTGATTTAAACGACTCCAATTATAGTAAAACTGATATAAATCGGATGAAAGGGAATAATACACAGCAATTGTGAATTATAGTGTGTAACATAAACTCTTTTTATTATTATTATTATTATTTAAATGCAGTCATATTACAACCAGTGAACATGACAGTAGTCATTTCCAACATATAATATAGAAAAACATTGAATATAGACTACAGTATGTAGAATGTGTAACGTAGACGCGTGACGGTGAGCTGGTTTTATGAATCTGGATCCTCTCAAATATCTGGCAACATCTGTGCTGAAGTCCGAGCTCATCGACACAGTCCCGGAGCTGAAGGCAAGTGAGATCAGAAAATGCTGCGCGCTGTTTTCTCCCGAACTTTCCCACAAGTTTTCCGGATCTCGGCATGTCAGCACTCAACGATTCCCGCCTCGAATGTTCATCCAGACGTTCACTTCAACAAGGTAACTGAAAGGCCAAATGCTGGGACTTGAATTCAGTTTTATTCAAACATGTAGTAAGTGACATGTGCATGTATGTTTTTCATATTATAGAGTGGGGGTTCAATCTTCAACTGGCTGGCAGCTGCCACCAACCACTGGCAGGTCACGTGACCTGTCAGTGGCGGCTCCTGCCAGCCAGTTGAAGATTGAACCCCTACTGATATTACAGCCTAACAAATAGTTTTATTAAATATTTGCAGTCTTATCAGTAGCATGATATCTCTATCCTCTAATGATTTTGTCATCGAGTCATGGTGATTACATTTAATGCAGAAGACATTTGCAGCAAGTTAATGAACTTGGCATGAAAACGCCGTTCCTGTTTTATCTTATCTTTCCATCATTCCAGGTGTGTTCCCCTCTCTCTCTCTCTCTCTCTCTCTCTCTCTCTCTCTCACACACACACACACACACACACACACATACATATTACAAAATCAGCATGTCAGGGTTAGGCTATATGAAAAATTACAGAAAAATGCTATACCTAGCAAACTTGCAAAGTTCACAATATTGCTTTCTTATTTTTATTACATTTAGATATCGTTTTGAACTGTTCAAATAATTTGTAATTTTGCAAATTTTACTTAATTTTACAAATTTTAAAACGCAGTACCACAAGTGTCATAACTGTATATACTAGTATACAGTCTTTTTATGAAACTTGTGAGGTGTCATCCATATTTTGCTTATAATATATCAAAATATATTATAAAGAGAGAGAGAGAGAGAGAGAGAGTTCCACTTATCTGTAACAGCTAGGATATCATTTGTTTGTAAAAAGGAACATAAAATATTAATGCAACCTAGGGGTGTGCGATAATGACATAACATGATATCGCCATATTTTCTGGAATTTTGTCGATAACGATAATTTGACGATATTTTGCTGAGCGTATTATTGTGCTGGTACTTTGGCAGGTTTAGGACTGCGATGGACAGCTTTTTATTCTTCATATTCAGTGAGGTGCTTCATTTGCAGGAGAAACAGAAATGAACTTTAAAGTTTAAATAGATTTTTTTTTTTTTTACCTGATTAAATGTATGTAGGGCTGGGCGATATGGCCAAAAAAAAAGAAAACATTTTTTTTCATGTCAGTCGATATGGATAATTATCACAGTAAATTTCAAATCTTTTTTTCTTTCAAGTTTAAAGGCAGATTTTTGCTTCTAAGTGAAAGTTGAAACCAGACTGTTAATTGTGGTTTTAAACTATTCTTTATGGTCAGAACATGACAAACACTTGACATTTTTGAATTCTTTACACTTTCCAGTCATGTTTCCTTAACAAAATAAATATCTTAATAGAAAAAAAATTCTGCATGTTCTAATGAGTGACATTATTTCAGATGATGAAACAGGTTTGTGTTCCTGACTTTGATGACGTGTATCTTCAGCACAGTTTGCAGTGCAGGCTGCAATATTAATAATGTGTGTGTGTGTGTGTGTGTGTGTGTTCACTGCTGTGTGTGTGCACTCGGATGTGTGAAATGCAAGTATGGGACACCATACATAACATGACCACACGTCACGCAATCCATAGATTCCTTAAAATAGATTTGCTTAGCCTGATTCCAATATGTATTATTTCCATAATTTCAGTTTTGAAGTTATCGAATTCCTATAATCTGTTGTTTTCTAATATGTCTTAGAGGCCTCATTCATATTTTGATTATTCTGATTATTGCAAAGATAAATTATTGTGATCAGTCAATATTGATGGCTCAATGGACGCCTCATTTGTCTTCTGCTGTAATGAATTAGAAATTAACTAAAAATCGAATCCGGACTCTTTAGACTTATCCCTACTACTCCAAATATAGTCTTTTAAATCTGGATGTTTACATCTCTGTACTCTATATCAATTACTCAAATTTAAGTAGCTCTGATTCAGCTGAAGATAATTGTTAAATATCACTGCCCCACTGATTCTTCCAAAAATTCACATCTGAGTTTCTTGCAAAAAAATACAAATCCACTTTGGACACTGTCATTTTTTTGTTATCAGACACTTTAATTTCAGAAAATCTTAGAAAGCTGTGTAACTGCAAGCAAATTTGAAATTTGCCACCAAAACATCAGTATTCAAAGCAGGATCTTACAGTTTTTAGTTGGGCTGAACGATTTATCACATTTGGCTTGCATTTATCAAAATATCAAATATGTACATTATATATCACAAAGAGTTTACATATAATATTATATGATTTTAATACTTTAAGGTTCAAATTATGGTGATGCAGATATCAAAGAATGGACTGAGTGTGTTGATTTTCAGAATAATATAGCTATATAATATAACAGAATAACAAAACTAGTTAAGCAAAGATGTTAGTTGGTGATTATACTATAAATAATGTTTGATGTTTTTTTTACATTTATGTTGAAGATGTCATTGTCAGATTTTTGTGACATTACGTTGTATTTAAGGCTAAAGTAAAAAAAAAAAAAAAAATGCTGTGCACTTTTATTAGTGTTGCTTTTTTCCTGGAATACAACCAGTGCTGGGTAGATTACTTAAAAATTGAAATCCGTTACTGATTCCAAATTGCATGACAAAAAATGTAGTTAGTAATGTAATCCGTTTCATTACACATTTTAGGTAATATAATCAAGAGTACTTTTTGATCACTTTTAGATTACTTTTGACCTAACTTGTTAATCACATTGATTTAAATAGGATAATCTTGAACCATATTGATATAAAAAATACTAAGAGTAAGAAAATCTATTTTATTCATTTTAATTAACAACATGAGGTGCATTAAACATCCAATTACATCAGGGTTTCCCAAACTGGGCTTCGTAAAGGAACTGCAGGGGGTTTGTAAGTTTAATGAAGAGATATAATCCATTAAATCATAAAAATGTAAATTTAAAATTAATAATTTTAAAATAAAATCAATCAAAATAAAACACTTGCAAAAAATTGGAATATCTTATTTATTTACCTGCATGTCATGTGACTATTAACTGTGAACATGCAATTGTGATACTTATAAAAATAATTATTTTAAAATTTCAAATACTTCAAATAAATATATTAGGTGAACGAGGTTCAGATGACAAAAAAAGTTTGGGAATCCCTGCATTACATGTAAATAAGAAATAACGTGAATTTGTGCATTTTAATGTGTTTGAAAGACAAAAGCCTTACAAAGACAAAGTAATACATGGTTAAATAACCACCGGAGTGATAATTCAAATAAAAATGAATATGTTCATTAGTAGTTGATGCAACGTTGAAACTCTTCTTAAACCTGAAAATATTTTTTTGTAAATCCAGTGGCATAGCCTCCTGACTAGTGACTGGTCTTTGTGTGAAAATCCACAAAACTGGAAGACTTTCTGAATGTATAATCGGTAGGATATTATAGAAAAGAAAATTTAAAAGAGGAATTAGGGAGAATCAATAAAATATGAATTATTTATTGCTACTGTGTGAATAATATGTAATCATGTAATCAATAAAAAAGTAACTGAAGTCTGATTCAGAGTATTGTAAAATGTAATTTAATCTAATTACAAGTACTTCATATTTGGAATTTTATTATGTAATCCAGATTACATGTAATCAGTTACTACCAGCTCTGACTGCAAATCTCATGATATACTGTATCACGTTATCCTCATCCACATCCAAACCACATGTCAATGTGTTGCATTTTTCTCCACAGATTTTCATCAGCAATGAGTGGCATGATGCAGTAAGCAAGAAAACGTTTCCAACCATCAATCCTGCTACGGGTGAGGTTGTCTGCCAGGTCGCAGAGGGCGATAAGGTAGGTGTTTGAATTTAGAATTTAGAATTTTAAATTACATTACATCTGTGCCAAATAAAAATGTCCTAAAGCAGCTGGTTTGCTGGTCGTAGCTGGTAAACTCTTGGGGTTTTGGGCACTTTTCATCTGGTCAGGTTAAACCGGTTGAGCTTAAAGGAACACTCCACTATTTTTGAAAATAGGCTCATATTCCGACTCCCCTTCTATTACATTTTAAATAGGGTAACTTGTAATCTGTAACCTATTACATTTCCAAAGTAACCTTCCCAACACTGGATAAAACATAGGCAAAGGTTGAGCTGCAGCAGATCACTGGAACAGAACAATACATTCATGCAGAGAAAACCTGATCTGACATCAATTTCTACTTATGATTTAATTTAACATATCGTAACCAAAGTATGCATATGTGAACTGTACCTGGTGCATTATTGACCTTCATGACCCTAGGCACACTTGCCTTTGCGTGTCTTATCATTAAAACAGCAAAATGAACTGAACAAGAACAAAGTTCAAGCTTTTAACTCTTTTTCTATAAAATATAATGATTCAGACGAATTTATTACAAAACAAATACATATTTATTCTCTGGAAACCGGGCAGTAAGGAAGTTTTTTAACCTGTTTATTAACCATATTTTAAAAATTACCAAAAAATGATCAGTTTCCGCTATAAATAAGCATAACAGAGTGGACATGTTATGCTTTACCACATCAGTGAATCATTCTAAAACATTGAAAAAAGAGTGAATTAAGGAGTGATACTTACTCTGTTTCTTGTAGTTAGTTTGCCACCAAAAAGTATTCTACTTCCTGAGAGTCATGTGATTAGGGAACACTCAAGGGGCGTGATTTTTTCAGGGTTTCCGCGGGGTCTTAAAAAGTCTTAAATTTAGTTGTATCAAATTTAAGGCCTTAAAAAGTCTTAAATTGTACAAGAAAGTCTTGATTATGATTTCAAGAGGTCTTAAATTTGGGGACAGAAAGACCAGAATTGCGATATAGCTCAATGTGACGATTAAACTTCAAAAGGCTATGAAACATGAGCGCTGCACGTTCAAAATCCGGTGCTACGCTGTTTTGTGTTCTGCCTTTACTACCCTGTTTATTAACCATATTTTCAAAATTACAAAAAATTATCAGTTTCCACTATAAATAAGCATAACAGAGTGGACATGTTATGCTTTACCACATCAGTGAATCATTCTAAAACATTGAAAAAAGAGTGAATTAAGGAGTGATACTTACTCTGTTTCTTGTAGTTAGTTTGCCACCAAAAAGTATTCTACTTCCTGAGAGTCATGTGATTAGGGAACACTCAAGGGGCGTGATTTTTTCAGGGTTTCCGCGGGGTCTTAAAAAGTCTTAAATTTAGTTGTATTATGGCTCAATGTGACGATTAAACTTCAAAAGGCTATGAAACATGAGCGCTGCACGTTCAAAATCCGGTGCTACGCTGTTTTGTGTTCTGCCTTTACCGGGGAAACAGTGATATTTCTACCAAACGCTCCACCTGCTGGCAGAGAATGAATGAGCATTTTCAATAAAACTGTTGTTTTGTTCAGAGTTCAGACCAATGCGAAAATCGACCCATGTTTTTACCCTGCAAACACGCAGAGCTTTAAATGTAAACTGGTGGATCGATAAGAAGACAATGCATTATAAAAATCTAAACATAGGGGTGTGCGATATGTATGGTCTGCGATAATATCGTAATTGTTGTTTTGACAATGTGCAATTTGATATTATGAGTATATCGCGAAAAGCAAACACAAAACACACCTACAGAGTGCACGCATACATGATTAGATGATGAAGCATTTAGAGTGCGTTCTTTCACTGCATGAATCAGTCTATTAAAATGCATTTAGAATTATCACATAATTTTAGATATGGGGCAGAAAATGTATATATTTAAATCATTTGACATAGTTAATATCACACGAAGAGTGTTTTTGCTCTATTTCTCCAACAAAAATCATTTCAAACACAGCCACAGCACTGTTTTGCATCTCTGAGCAACAGGAAGCTGTTTTGTTCCTGACTGAATCACCCGTTTTGCATTCGTAATTGCAGGTTAAAGTATTTAATGTCCCTCAGAGCTGCATTAAACAGTGCGTAAATGCATCTAAATGCCACTTACAATGCAGCTTCTGTGTTTCCTCTGCATTGCAAAGATCAATTTTGTTGATACTGATTTAATTTGCTTGGTAACAAAAAATTTTACTCAAATGATGGTGCACACTTTTAGAAAAAATGGCTTAAAGGTAAAAATGCCCATAAAACTTGGCTGAAATGTAAAGTTTGTCATTTTATAAAACTTTGTTTTTGTGAAAACTTGTATCTGAACTGTAAATTATGCTTTTTACAGTAATTTTACAGTTTAATATGGTACTATAGACATTGCCCTACTCTGCTCATATGGTATTAATTTTATTTGTGCAGGTCTTAAAAAGTCTTAAATTTGAGCTTAAAAATCCTGCAGAAACCCTGTTTTTAATCTGAGTAACAGGGGGGACATTCAGCTCAGGGACACAACATGTTTTAAAGACTGTAAAGACTGTTTTTGTACAAAAAAATATATATTTTGGTGTGGAATAATATAAATACGAATACACACCAATATTGAAAAATGTTGGAATTTGTTTGATTTTTATTACTTATATTTGTGGCTGAATTTATGCAAGCTTACTTGGGGACATGGCAGTTTAGCCTACTTGCACTAAAATCAGAGTAATTATTTTTAATTAATTAATTTTGGGTACATATGTATTGTGTTCTATGGTAGAGGGGCAGTAACTGTGTAAGCTGACAGAATTCTTATTTTGGGTGAACTATCCCTTTAACCCTAACTTTGCTTTTATTCGACTCCTCACCTGTGTTTATTTAACAACCCCCCAGATATAAACCAGGAGCTGGGATTAAAAATAGCTGTGCATATTTATTTAACACGTATCAAATAGCCGGCTTAAATTGAACTAACATTACCTTACAAACATAATGTATAAAGCATAACTTAATAAAGTCTCTGACTTGACCTCAGCAGGATGTTTGTTTTTCTTTGTGCAGTGTATTTCACGTAATGCTGCCAGTGAAGAAATATGGCCTGATAGAACGAGTGATAGTTGCATACTTGCATTAGCTGGCCTAAATCGAGTCTTGCATGATGTTTTCAGTCTATGTTTCTCTCCCATGTTTTTTTGCATGCAGGCGGATGTGGAAAAAGCTGTCAAGGCTGCCAAAGATGCCTTTAAGCTCGGGTCTCCCTGGCGGCGTATGGATGCGTCCCACCGCGGGCTGCTCTTGAGCTGATTGGCAGACTGCATAGAGAGAGATGCTGCCTATTTAGCTGTGAGTCTCTCAAACAACCTTCGCCCTCATAGACTTTGAGCTGATTCATTAAATGTATGAAAATATGCTGTCAGCATGATTCAGCAAAATGAAAGACTAACAGCAGAATCATAAAAGGCCCCAGTTATACGAATTATACAATTTACATCTAAAATTTCAGTGCAATTTTTCTTACCTTTTCACTCACTGCTTGCTTAAAACATCTTTTTTTTCCAGTGATTGGTCTAAATAATTCAGTTGAGAAAGCCTTGTTCCTCTCATCACTATGCACTGCAGCAAATGTATTAAGAAACGGTACAAAATCCTGAAAACACGCTTGATAAAGAAACAGGGTAACCATTATAAACACAAGAAAATATTATAAATGAGATTACACATTCAACTGCAGACAAAGATGATGAATACTGAGAGTCTAGACTACTAATGAGAGTCTATGTACTTTGTAACTTAATACTGAAGTAGTAAAACTGACGTTTGTGCTTAGTACAAAGTATTATGTAATTTTAGAAAATATAAATTGGAGAGTCCATTGGATTTTTAGTTGAAGACAAAATTACTTTTGGTTCCTTGTTATAATTTCCACACTGGGTCCTGTCATTTTGAAACGCATCAGTTATATATATATCAATATATTTACAATAATACAATGGTATGTTAATATTATTTGTATTTTATTTAAATAGGAACTAGAGACTCTTGACAATGGAAAGCCATATGCTGTCTTCTACACTGTGGATGTGCCCATGGTGGTCAAGTGCTTGAGGTGAACTTTATGTCCTTATGATGAACTGTCTTTCACAGTGTTTTCTAGTTTTTATAATTGCAATCTGAAGAGTTCTGCAGATTCCAGCACTAAAAAAAATATTTAGACCCAAATTTAAGATTTATGTATTCAAATTGCATATAAAATCCTTACACTAGTAAACTTAATGTGATGCATATATTTGTCAGTCATATGTGACCGTGGACCACAGTGTCAATTTTTCAAAATTGAGATTTATACATCAATGGAAAGCTTATTTATTCAGCTTGCAGATGATGTATGGTGTGTTAGGATAGGACAATATTTGGAACTATTTGAAAATCTGGAATCTGAGGGTGCAAAAAAAATCTAAATATTGAGAAAATCATCTTTAAAGTTGTCCAAATGAAGTTCTTAGCAATGCATATTACTAATCAAAAATGAAGTTTTGATATATTTACAGTAGGAAATGTACAAAATATCTTCATGGAACATGATCTTTACTTAATATCCTAATGATTTTTGGCACAAAAGAAAAATCTATAATTTTGACCCATACAATGTATTGTTGGCTATTGCTACAAATATACCCCAGCGACTTAAGACTGCTTTTGTGCTCCAGGGTCACATTTATAAATGAAACTGGATTTCTGTAATAGTACTGATGAACTGTATGTGTTTTAAATGCACAATAACCAGATTTATATATTTATCATCAATAAATCCAAAAGGATGCTGTATCATGCATTTTAACTACCGGTAATTAAATATTGCTTGTTCCACAGCTGGCCATATTTGAACCATGCTCGATACCTTTTAATTAAATAATTTTCACAATGAACAGATTTATGCTGATTCTAAGCAATTTTAAGTAATGCATTTTGAAAAAATTTGTATTTAAATAAAATCAAATAGATGCAAATAGTTAATAATAAACAGATTTTTTTGTTTTTTTTAGTGCAAAAATCATTTATTGCTTAATTTATGAATGACTGACAGATATGCATCACATTAAGTTTATTAGTTTGTGAATACTGTGTAAACCAAATAGATGGAAATTTTACATGAATTTCAAATACATAAATCTTAAATTTATTCCTAAATATTTTTGTTTGTTGTATAGCATAACGAATCTCTTAGGTGGTTATTTGAATGAGTTTTCATTATTTTCTAACACAAAGAATTATTTATTTGGACATTGCCTTCAGAAATGGCATGTATCTATCATATCTGACAAGCACTGACAAGCATTGTAATCTCTGCTGATTTTAGTCGTTCCAATAGTTGTTTATAATGATCGATGTGCAATTCATTCTGAACTCAGAACTCTGTTTTTTTCTGTTGGGTGTTGGTTGGTCTGTAGGTATTATGCTGGCTGGGCAGACAAATGGGAGGGGAAGACCATTCCCATTGATGGTGATTACTTCTGCTACACCAGGCATGAGCCCATTGGTGTGTGTGGCCAAATTATCCCTGTAAGTATATGCTTTTGGGACTTTAGAATTAAATATGTGTTTGCTGAGTAATATGGTACACTGTAAAAAATGACTGTGAATTTAACGGTAAAAGACTGTAAAAATGCTACAGTAAAAACCTGTTAAATGGTTAACGGTAAATCACCCTACTATATATGGTGAAAAACTGTATTGGACATTACATGTATTGGACATTAATTTTATGGTAGTATACCGTTTTTGGAAGTGAAAAAGACCGTATAATTTACAGTGAATAACCGTAAATTGACATTCCCAGAATTCCCTGCTTTACATTTTAAATTTGATGTTTTTTTGTTGAAATAACTATGCTTCTTCTTAGATTTTTCTTATCAGTTTTGTATATTAGGGTTGTGTGTTACACCTAATGTTGTTAAATGAATGTTTATTGCATTATTTCAGTTTCATGTGTGTTACCATGATGGTGTTTAGTGTTTGTGTGAATGACACTGTGCACCTTCTATATATGTTGTTATTTAAAAGCTGCTTGTGATGGGCTTTGGTTCATCATGTGACTTTCTCATCAGCACCTGCATTTGGTGGTTATCAGTGTATTACAAAGGTACAAAACAGATTTCAGTACTTCAATAGGTTGGTATATTAACATTATAACAGTTAATGAAATTAGAGTATTTAACTGTAAATTTAAGTTCAAACCGTAAAACCTAAAATGTTGCTACCGTATTTTTTACGGTAAAATTCCGGCAACCACAGCTGCCGGTTTTTTTTACCGTAAATTTTATGGAATTTTTTTTACAGTGTATTTTTCCTCTCTCTTTGCCTCCTCACATTGTGCTCCAGTGGAACTTCCCACTGTTGATGCAGGCGTGGAAACTCGGTCCTGCTCTGGCCACAGGGAACACGGTGGTGATGAAGGTGGCAGAACAGACGCCCCTCACTGCCCTGTATGTCGCCAGTCTGATCAAAGAGGTGACCTACAGTATATGTGCACTTAAAATAACACCTTTACTTGAACTCTTATTATGTATAGAGTGCTGCGGTGATTACATATTTTTGACCACATTACAAGTCCATATCACTTCGCCAAACGATTTCAGTTATTTCAAAGGTCCTTACAGCCTAAAACAGCAAAAGAACCAAAACCACTGGCCAAGCAAATAAATATGTGACCCTGGACCACAAAACCAGTCATAAGGGTAAATTTTTTTAAATTGAGATTTATACATCATCAAAACTGAATAAATAAGCTTTCCATTGATGTATGGTTTGTTAGGATAGGACAATATTTGGCCGAGATATAACTATATGAAAATCTGGAATCTGAGGGTGCAAAAAAATCACAATATTGAGAAAATCGCCTTTAAAGTTGTCCAAATGAAGTTCTTAGCAATGCATATTACTAATCAAAAATTAAGTTTTGATATATTTACAGTAGGAAATTTACAAAATGTCTTTATGGAACATGATCTTTACTTAATGTCAAGTATTTTTGGCATAAAAGAAAAATCAATAATTTTGACCCATACAATGTATTTTTGGCTATTGCTACAAATATACCCCAGCGACTTAAGACTGCTTTTGTGCTCCAGGGTCACATATAGTAAACAATATGATAAAAAAATGACAAATTATTTCCATGTTTTTGCCACAAAATTGCATTTTATTATGTACAGAAAACACACGTGTTGTCAGCGCTGCTCTGACGATTTTAGCAGTAAAATAGTTTAGCAACTTAAAAGCTACATGACATTTCTCACTAGCAAGGTAATAATGTAATAACGGCGCTGTTGTTGAAGCAGATAAACTTAAGTTTCGCTATTAGTAGAAACGCTGCTGCCGAGCACTTGAGAGGCACACAGACTCAGAGAGGTAATTCACACATGCTTAATCTCTCTTTCTCTAAAAACTGCATTAATAACTGCATTAGTCTGCTATCAACGGCTCAAGCCTCTGTTACTTAGTCTAAAATGACATTTTGGAATTGGCAATGGAGGCGTGGGATGAGATGTGTTAGAAATTAATCCTAAACACGAGCGTTTTAAGAACAAAAACTTGACAAATGTCTTGAAATACATAATCTGAACAATGCCTTTAGGTGTGGCAACCAAAAGCTATTACTAGCTATTACTTATTGATATGTATATATTTAAATTAATGTAAATACAAAGTTTAATATATATCTTGCCAGGTCATATAATAATTATTTGAATATGAATGATAAATAATTCTAATTAATATAATATGCTGCTAATAAATAATTAGCAGCAAAATATGGGCAATTTTGTCTCTAAAATTCTTTAAACTGCTTTAATTTGGAGCGAGAGATACAGGAGGAGTGGCTTTATTGCATCAGATATATGTAACTTTGCTCACAGCTGCCTGGTCCAGTTTGGGTTTGCGATCTCTAACTCAGAATAAACCCTGATCCGGAGCAGGGTAGCCACGGCGACGAAACCCGCTCAAAACCAACCCGCCTTCTTGAGCCCGAAAACTCAGAGTTTGCTCAAACTAAATGCAAACCGGCTTCGTGCAACGGGCCTTTGAGCTTATGTTAACCTCAGACCTTATTTCAGGCATTTCACCGAAAAACCCATTCAAAAAACTCTTTGACTTCAGAACCAGAAGTGCTAAAATGCAACTCATTTCCAGGTTTTGGCTCACAAAAATACGTCATCTCTGCATCAGCTCTTTAAAACAGTGTCTATATGTTAAGAAGCCATTAATAGTGAAGCCACACTGAATGCACTGTTGAACCACCATCAAGTGCACTTGATCCCTGTCATTTTGCTTACTCACCTGATCACAATCTTGACTGGTTGTAGGTGGGTTTCCCTGCTGGTGTCGTCAACATTATCCCAGGAATGGGTCCCACGGCAGGGGCAGCCATTGCGTCTCACATGGATGTGGACAAAGTAGCGTTCACTGGCTCCACTGAGGTAAGAGGATTGTCTTCAGTAATGGATATTTCTTGGACAAACACAGTAGAATGCAAAGGTCTTCTTTCAGTGCTGTGGTTCAGTTCATTATTTGCTCACCATCATGTTGTTTTAAACCCAAAATCTTGGAATAAAAACTTAAAAAATCTGGATTTCAGTGGAGAAACAGAAATCTCTCAGGGTTCATTAAAAATATCTTCATTTGTGTTCTGAAAATGAAGGAAAGTCTTATGGGTTTGGAACGACTTGAGGGTGAGTAAATGACGACAGAATATTCGTTTTTGGGTGAACGGGGTGAACTATGTAAATATAGTCAGTTATGGCTTAAAAAATAATAAATGATAATAAATCTGATTTGTTTCAAAATCATGGTTCAGTGTGGTGTAAATGCAGTTGAAACACACTACTATATTGAGTTTTATATGTATAAATGCACGAGTTCTGTGTAATTTTGGTATTGGGACAACCTTGCCTTTGATATTATATTTGCAATTTACAGTACATTTGTTTTGTCTGTTAACTGGAGTGTCGTCTTATCGTTTTGTAGGTAGGTCACCTCATCCTGAAAGCCTCAAGTAGCAGTAATCTGAAGAAGATCACACTGGAGCTGGGAGGAAAGAGTCCAAACATCATTCTGTCAGATGCTAAAAGTGAGTCCTTTCATCTTGACACCTGCAGCATTTTATTCAACTATCAGTGGTTTATATTTCTGTGGCAACTTAAAAGGCTCATGATATTTTCCTATTTTCCATGAGGTCTGCTATAATGTTAAGAACGTTTTTTACTAATGGCATTATTTAGTAATACATAACCATTTCCACCCCGTCTCTGTCCATATGGATAAAATGCTGTTTTGGAGCTTTTAAGACTTTAGTGGAGATAGATATACATGCAACTGCTGAATAAACATTCTCCGTTCACCATTGACGAAATCGTCGACACGCTGTCAACACAGTTTAGATCACAAACAATCAGACACACAAGAACCTCATCCTCTAACACACAAACCACTAATAAAGCTTTCAATCACCAAATGACAAATAACTGCCAAATAACATCCATCACCATGCAACAATAAATGCAGCAACAGTATAAACAGAGGCAGTAAACAGTGGAACAGTGAACATATATCATAATCTGAATAATTTACTAACGTCGAGTAGAATTGCTGGTGAATGGACTTCCGTGATTTCCACGGATTTCAAACCTTTCTCAAAAGTGCTCGAGTTGACAGAAATGCACAAAATAGGTCACAGAAATGATTATTTTTGTAGCAATTGTTTGTGTGTGTGTGTGTGTGTGTGTCTGTCTGTGTATGTGTGTGTGTGTGTGTGTGTGTGTGTCTGTGTGT